TTTACATGAATCCATCTTTGGGAATTAATAAAAGATGCATTTAAAACATGCTGTTGTTTTTCACTTTCATGGAATAATTTAGCTGTTAAAAAAAGCAGTTTCTGCTGATTGCGCTCCAAATGAGTTGACTGTTTATGAACGGAAACACTATATTTCTGCAGATGTTATTTTTGCTCTGCTTCATAATTATGAGCCAATGGATTTTGGTCCATCCGTTAAAACCCTGGTATATCTATGAAGGTTTCTGTAACCATGGCGACCCCAATTAAATAGTTAATCTGATTAGGATTCAGCCTGTGAACTATGATCAGATCCTGATTGAATTAAATCCGGATTCTACTGGATGATTTAAACTGGGCGGAGGAACAACCAACCACCTGCTTTGCCTGCTTGCGGAGCTGTTCCGTCAGTTTTCCGTTCATCTCCTCGAACTTCCTGAACGCCTGTAAGACAATCAGAGCAAGAGTGGATCTGGTTTCCTTTCTGACCCCAACGTCTGAATGATGGAATATTTTCCAATGACCCCCCCAATGGAGCAGTGGATGCGAAACACGCTGTACCTCCTCTGGCGCCACCTGGCTGGTCAGCAACGCGTCCAGAAACTCATACTGGTACTGCAGAGGGAACCGAAGCATGAACATGTGAATATGGAGCAACGTCAGAGCAAAGAAAAAGACATTTATTGATGGAAAATTATTTCAGAAATATGCTTAAATATGTCATCCAGGTCACAGTCATTCTAAACAAACAAAAAAGCTATCCACTGGACTTTGTTTCCAAGTTTGAAGACGTTTTGCTTCCCATCCAGGAAGATTTTTCAATTCAAAAATATTTTTTTTCTTTCAATTTTTTAAATTTGATTTTGATATTTTTTCTTCCACTTTTTTGGAACATTTTAGAAACTGGGAAAAAACAATCTGAGACTTAACATAAAAAAATAAAAAATAAAAAATTTGAAAACTAAAAATAGGTTTTAATTTGAAAAGATCTGAAACTGAAAAATTTTTTTTTTCTTTTTTCAGTTTCAGATTTTTTTTTTTAGGTTTCAAACTGCTGAACCCTCGGCATAGGGGCGGGGCTTAAATGACACAGGGTCTGGAACAATGAATTCATGATCCCTGGATGAACTATTTTATTCCTGAACTCTTGGAAGTTGGAACGTGTTGGAAACCAAACTGGGCCGGCAGTTTGAAACTGGAAAACAAAACAACACTGGAATCTTAAAAGTAACATTTCTTTATGGTTTTAAAGTTTTTCTTTCCAGTTTCAAAACTAGTTTTCAGTTAAAAAAAGAAGCTTTGAACAGACTTTATGGCCTTAATTTAGCTCCATATGTGGAGGCAGGTGGACGTCTGAGGTGGGGGCTCACCGGGGAGAGGAACTTGTAGGTGAGATGAGCGTTTTCTGCCAGGACGTCGGCCGCCATGTCAAAGTACTGTGAAGCAGATAATCCCGTTAATCCCACTTTAATTAAACAAGTGTTTCACAGTATGAACATAAGGCAAACAAGCAGCAGGAACCGACTGAGCTGAAAAGGTCGAGTCACTGCAGAAGAGGAACTGATCTAAAAACAAGTTAAATTTAGTGGATTTATTTTAGGCAGACTTAAAATGATCTGCCCATGGAATCAGTATATTTGCAGGCTTAGATATTACTGCTTGAATTAAGACAATTAAGTTTGATGTGTGATGTCATCGGTACGGTCTCTGTACCTCGTGTTTGCAGCATGTGGTGATGTCATCAGTACGGTCTCTGTACCTCGTGTTTGCAGCATGTGGTGATGTCATCAGTACGGTCTCTGTACCTCGTGTTTGCAGC